AAGACGGACTTACAAGCTTTCTATGGTGATGTTTCTGGCTATTCTTTTCTCTCCCCCTCAAGTGTCTATTTTATAATATAATGCAAGGAAAACCAAGATTTAAAAGACAGCCAAGCATCTTAACATTATTCCCCCCTTTTCCCCATTCCAACCATGTCTCAATCTCTGTATCCCAGAATGCTGTTGTTCCAAGGTCGTGCATACATCATTATTTACCTCTGTCCCACTTAGCCCATTCAAACCTGCCTAATTGTTCTCCCATTTGCTTTGTTCTTCCATTCCCCTCCCTTCTTGTATATTGGCCCCCTCCCCAGCACCCAAACTATCCTGTGTCTAATCCCTGCCCTGTGTGCCACCTTCCCCTCCCCCACCTCCACCCCCACATCCCAGCAACCAGCAGTATCATTGGCTCTTGATCATATGTTATCTTTCCACATGGTTGAATATCAACCATCTCTTTTTGGTACAGTGACTCTTCTTTTCATGCTTTCTGTTATCGTTCAGTAATTTACCCAAAGAATCCTTCAATATTTCAAGTCAAGACTTAGATTTATTTTTCAGTTTCCTCAGTTTGAGGAATGTTGAATGGGTTCTTCCCTTTTGGTTTTCTAACTCCAGGTCTTTGTACATTTCATTATAATGTTTGACTTTGTCTTCTCAAGCTGCCTTTTGAAATATTCTATTCAGCTCTTTTACCTCCTTATATCTTCCATTTGCTATAGCATCTCTATGCTGAAGAGCAAGTTTCAGAGTCTCTTCTGACATCCATTTTGGTCTTTTCCTTATTTCTTGTCTTCTTAATGACCTTTTACTTTCTTCCTATATAATGTTCTTGATGTCATCCCATAACCCTTCTGATTTTTGGTTTTTAGTGTCTAATTCATCAAGTCTGTTCTTCAGATGATTTCTAACTTCAGGTGGGATATGTTCAAGGCCATGTTTTGGCACTCATGGTCTTGTTTTTTCTTCAGCTTCAGCCTGAGCTTGCATATGAGCAATTGATGATCTGTTCCTCAGACTGCACCTGGACTTGTTTTGGCTGATTATATGGAGCTTTTCTACCTTCTCTTTCCAGATATGTAGTCAATTTGATTTCTAAGCATTCCATATGGTGAAGTCCATGTATATAGTCTTTTTAAATGTTGTTTAAAAAATATATTTGCAATGAAGAAGTCATTGATCTTATAAAATTCTATCATGCAATGTCCAGCATCATTTTATTATCAAGGCCATATTTTTTCCAACTACTGATCCTTCCTCTTTGTTCGCAATCTTTGCATTCTGTTTACCAGTAATTATCAATACATCTTGATTGCACATTTGGTTGGTTTCAGACTGAAGAAGTTGGTAGAATTCTTCAATTTCATCATCAATTGCTTTAGTGGTTGGTGTATAAATTTGAATAACAGTGGTATTAACTGGTCTTCCTTGTAGGCATATGGATATTATCCTATCACAGAGAGGTTTGTACTTCAGGAGGGATCTTGATATGTTCTTTTTCATGATGAACATGACACCATTCCTACTCAATTTGTCATTTCCAGCACAGTAAACCATGTGGTTGTCAGATTCAAAATGGCCAATGTCAGTCCATTTCAGCTCACTAATGCCTAGGATATCAATGTTTATATGTTCCATTTAATTTTAACAATTTCCAATTTTCCTAGATTCATACTTCATGCACTCCATGTTCCAATTATTAATGGATGTTTACAGCTGTTTCTCTTCATTTTGAGTTGTGCCCCATTAGCAAATGAAGGTCCCGAAGAAGGCTTTACTCTATTTGCATCAATATGGTCAACTCTTCCCCAGTTGTACTTTTAGTGCCTTCCAACCTGTGGGGTTCATCTTCTGACACTATATCTGACAATATTCTTGTGTTCTTCATCATGGTTTTTTTTTTTTTTTTAATAGTTTAATGCATTTTAATAGCAAACTTACAGGAGCAGCACAGAAGACAGATAACATTTAAAACATGTACTTGCATGTAGGACAACTCAGTTAGAAAAGTAGAGTGAATAGATGGAATCTACAAACACCATTTAGTTGCTGTCAATAAGAAATTTACTTGTTTAAAAAAAAAATCCAAATGCTGGCATTGTCCAGAAAATTTTAACAGGTTTATTTATAATTGTGATAAAGTTGAACTGCTGAAACTTGTTCACTGAAACATTTTGAGTTGCATTAATGCTTTATGTCCCTGCATTTATATTAACAATTCACACAAATGAAAATGAAAAAACTGCCAATACCTAATTTCTGTCTCTTATTTTTCCATTCACAATCATATACTTAGGTACCTTTTGACCCCATTGGGGGAGGGGGGAAATCTAACGTTTAGAACTACCAATAACAGGAAGAAGAGAATTTTTTCTTTTTAAAAGAATGAAATGTTTTCCCTTTTATAGTGGATTCTTAAGCACATTCTCCATGTATGCGATGTGCTAGCTAGATGTCTTTTGGCATAATTGTTACATGTTTGGCATGGATAGCACACAGGTTGGTGTCTTAAAAAGGCCAACCAGATAGGCCTCACTTGCTTCCTGCAAAGCACCAATAGCTGCACTCTGGAAGCGCAGATCTGTTTTAAAGTCCTGAGCTAGATGCTGGAGGGGGAGTTTATGAATCAGAAGTTCGGTGGACTTCTGATAACGTTTAATTTCACGAAGTGCCACAGTACCAGGCCTGTAACAATGAGGTTTCTTCACCCCTCCAGTAGAGGGCGCACTTTTACGAGAGGCTTTTGTAGCCAGTTGCTTCCTGGGTGCTTTCCCACGGGCTGATTTGCAGGCAGTCTGCTTTGTACGAGCCATGGTATAGAGACTTCCTCACTTAATCTGTCAGCATTAAAAAAAAAAAAAAATCCCCCTTCTCCTTCAGCTGGAGCTCCGTGAGCTAGAGACGGTGCTGGCGTTAGAGAGTGATGGCGGCGTGACAGCGGCTGCGAACACAATTCTTCTTCATGTTTTGATATTCAGTATTCTGGTGCTGACAGTGTTCCACCGTTATTCACAAGGTTTTCAGTTACTAAATATTCAGAAGTCTGCCTCTCCTTCTTCCTAGTCTGTCTTTATCTGGAAGCTCATCTGAAACCTGTCCACAATGGGTGACCGTTGCTGGTATTTAATATACCGGTGGCATAGCTTCCAGCATCACAGCAACATGTAAGCCACCACAGTATGACAAACTGACAGATGAGTGGTTATTCACATGGATGGATAAAAGGGTGACTAATAGCTAAGAAAACGTTGGCAAAAAAAAGTATAAAGGGGGACTCCATACACCTACAAGGAAGACCAGTTAATACCATTGTTATTCAAATTTATGCATCAACTACTAAAGCCAATGATGATGAAATTGAAGAATTCTACCTACTTCTCCAATCTGAAATTGATCAAACATGCAATCACGATATATTGATAATTTCTGGTGATTGGAATTCAAAGGTTGTAAACAAAGGGGAATGATCAGTAGGTGGGAAATATGGCCTTGGTGATAGAAATGATGCTGGACATTGCATGATAGAATTTTGTAAGACCAATGACTTCTGCACTGCAAATATCTTTTTTTTAACAACATAAAAAAAGAGTATGTACATGGACTTCACCAGATGGAATACACAGAAATCAAATTGACTACATCTGTGGAAAGAGATGGTAGAAAAGTTCCATATCATAAGCCAAAACAAGGCCAGGTGCAGACTGAGGAACAGACCATCAATTGCTCATATGCAAGTTCAGGCTGAAGCTGAAGCAAATTAAAACAAATCCATGAGAGCCAAGGTATAACCTTGAACATATCCCACTTGAATTTTAAAATCATCTGAAAGACAGATTTGATACACTTTATACTAATGATTGCAAAACAGAAGGGTTATGGGATGACATCAAGAATATCATCATACAGGAAGAAAGCAAAAGTTCATTAAGAAGACAAGGAAGAAAGAAAAGACCAAAACAGATGTCAGAAGAGACTCTTAAACCTGCTCCCCAGTGTAGAGATGCTAAAACAAATGGAATAAATGAGTAAGTAAAAGAATTGAGCAGAAAAGTTCAAAGGGCAGCATGAGAAGACAATGGCAAATATTAAAATTAAATGTGAAAAGATAATGGAATTATGAAACCAAAAGGAATGAATATACTCAGCACTTCTCAACTGAAAGAATAGAGGGAAAAAATTAAGCTTCTACTTGCAATACAAAGGTATTATTTGGGCAAAATATTGAATGATGCAGAAAACATCATAAGAAGATGGAAGGAATATACAGAGTCACTGTACCAAAAAGAAATGGTTGATGTTCAACCATTTCCAGAGGTAGCCTACAATCAAAAGAATGGTACTGAAGGAAGAAGTCCAAGGTGCACTGAAGGCATTAGTAAAGAACAAGTTAGCTGGCCTACAGATCAGAAGAGATCCATATTTGTGCCCAATGCAAATCGAAGTCACTCAATGGAATGTAGAAATCATCGGGCAATATTATTACTATCACATGCAAGTAAAATTTTGTTAAAGATAATTTTAGAATGTCTGCAACAGTTAATTGACAAGGAACTGTCAGAGGCTGAAACCAGATTCAGATGAGGAATGACGGATATTATTGCTGACATCAGATGGATCTTAGCTGAAAGCAGAGAATCCCAGAGAAAGATGTTTACCTATGCTTTACTGACTTTGCAAAGACTTTTGATTGTCTGGATCATAGCAAGCTATGCACAACATTGCAGAGAGTGAGTCTTCCAGAACACTTAGTTGTTCTCATGAGGAACCTGTACGTAGATCAAGAGGCAGTCATTTGAACAAAAAAAGGGACACGTGTTTAAAATCAGGAAAGGTGTGTGCCAGGGCTGTATTCTTTCACCATACTTATTCAATCTGTGTGCTGAGCAAAATATTTGAGAAGATGGATTATATGAAGAAGAACATGGCATTAGGATTGGAGGAAGACTCATTAGCAATATGCAATATGCAGGTGATACAACCTTGCTTATTGAAAGTGAATAGGACTTAAAACACTTACTGATGAAGATCAAAGATCACAGTGTTCAGTATGGGTTGCACTTCAATGTAAAGAAAACAAAAATCCTCATCACTGGATCAATAAATAACATCATGATAAATGGAGAAAAGATTGAAGTTGTCAAAGGCTTCAAAAAGTTGCTTGGGTCCACGTCAACACTCATGGAAGCAACAATCAAGAAATCAAATAATGTATTACATTAGGCAAAACTGCTGCAAATACCTTTTAAAGTGTTGAAGAGCAAAGATGTCAGTTTGAGTACTAAGGTGTGCCTAACCCAAGCCTTGGCCTTTTAAATAGCCTCATATGCATGTGAATCTTTCAATAACAAAAGTTGAGGCTTGAATTTTTTCTTTAGTTCCCCCAGCTTGAGAAATGCCGACCGTTTTCTTCCCTTTTGGTTATCCAACTCTAAATCATTGCATATTTTATTATATAGTATTTGGTTTTATCTTCTCGAGCTGATCTTTGAAATTTTCTGTTCAGCTCTTGCACCTCTTCGATT